TTAGTTACTGTATGGCAGTGCAACATGACATCATGACTTTTGCGTAAACATATACGCCACTTTCGAGTCAGGTGGCGTGTTATCTCTACGCATTTTGAGCTATCCGCGTGTATGCGTGTATGTCTACGCCATTAACGTCCGCGTCATTCCGCGTGTCTGTACACACAGTCAAATCTCCAGTCATAAATGCCATTTACCCCAGTGACGGTTAAGTTTAGGGATGGGGTTGAGGTAAGTCATAACTTTTTTTTTACCTAGGATGGTAAGGGAACAGTCATAAATGCCATTAACTCCAGTGACGGTTAGGTTTAGGGACGGGGTTGAGGTAAGTCATATATTTATATAACGTTAAGTCAACGGCGTTCATAAACACGCTGAAAGGCGATTATGCGTCTTGATAGCACGCCAAAAATGGAAATACGAATTGGCGTTTCACACGCTACTTCATGAGATCAGTCTGGGCAGTGGCTATTATAAAAAATATAGGGTGGATCATGTAAATAGAGGTATGGCTAAATCTAGATTTCATGAGCATTCATTCAAGAAACTAATTTTGGTATTAAAGCATAGTTTGTTGAAACTTCTTTAATTTTTCATCATCTTTGAACAAATGAAACAAACAAAGGGAATATTGGAACATTTTTAATATATATTTCAAAGGTTTGGGAACAAAAAGATTAATAATTTTGTTCAGCAAGGATAAATGAACAAAAAAGATTTGTATAATGTTACAAAATATATATATTTATATATAAATGCGGTTCTTATGAACTTTCAATTCCATCCTGAAAAACAGCACAATGGTTTTCAACATTGATAATAATAAATGTTTCTTGACAAATCCGCAAATTAGAATGATTCTGAAGGATCATGTGACAGAATGTCGGAATAAAGTATTCGGTCAGAATATATTCTATTTTAAAATTATATAAAGTTTTAGCATTATATTTTATATATTGTTTTACTGTATTATTGGTCAAATAAACACCAATGTTCAACTTTACTTTTTTGAATAAACTTTTTTTGAAGTATCAGCAGTGACTTCAGCAGTGATCAGTCACAAAACTAAGACATTGGCTTCCTCCCAAACCGCTCTAATATCGCAAAAGTCCTTTAAAACTAACCAGGCTTGATGTGTCCCCGAGTCTGAGTGTGTACTGCTACAAGCTCAGCCACTCTGCTGCCCTGAGATAGATAGGACACAAACTCGTAGACACACAGGTCTAGAACGAACACATGCACACACACACACACACTTTGGCTGTCACTCCAGAGTGAAACTGTTGGGGGATGTTTAGACATTTGGATGGACAGCCAAACTCAAGGACATCCCATGCTCTCCGCAGGCCATTTGTACTCACATGAACACATGTGCACACACCCTTGCAAAATTTCACATGAACGCACACACAAGCCCACACTTGGACATAGTTGACTGTCATCTTCCTAGGGCATCAACAGAGCATCAACACGAAACTCGAGCGCTACAGAACAGACAGGCAAACAAAATAAACCCTGTGAAACCTATGATTGTACAGCCATAATCTGCGAGTCACTCACAGCAGGCTGGAGAGGTTTTTTTAAACGCTAAAATCACTGCTTGATCGCAATCAAACTCCCATGGAGAGACTTCCCCTGGAGATCTGCTTCCTTAAGCAACATTTGCATAAGATCCGTTTTGTCTAGACAACTAAATACACAAACCCCACCTTTACAATGATTTCTTGCTCTGCGGGGGCTCTTCTCAGAGGAAATGTCAACGTGGACTTTGGAGGGCAAACTATGGATCAGGACCCAAGGGCAGGCGTTGCAGGGGCAGCAAAATGATTCTCTTGCATTTCCATCATCTTTATGGATTTTCATTGATTGTTTTTACAATTGAGAAAGCGGCCAAACAGCCTCTCAGTTGCCGTGAATCAAAAGTGAAAGCTTTCAGCTTTCAGTGACATTAGGCCTAAGAGAGTATGCTTTCAGCAGAACACACAGTTTCTTGCACACACACACACACACACACTCACTCCTCTTCAGGAAAACTGCTGAACCCTGTGGATCAATTTGGTCGCTAAAGCCAACATCAAACAAAGCAAATACTTGCATGCAAACGTTACTCTATTTGAAAGGCGTAAAACATGAGCAAATGAGTACCATCATAAAATGCAGACTGTATTTGCAATGGCAGGGTCCCTAATCTGTGTTCACTGCACCTACTCACCAAGTACGGGATATCTGTTGAAGTTCACTTCACAAAATTCATTAATTTGGTACACCCTGCAAAATCATCACACATGAAAAAAACTGAGCTTTGCATTTTAGAGGAGTCTAACCTATGATAACATTTCTATCTGTAAATACAATAGAAATGACCACCATATAATGCATCTATGTTTATTTATTTAAATACAAATGCATTACTTTTTAAATTCATATCTAAAAGCATTAGACCAAGTGATATGAAATTAATATAAAAATGTACTTTGGTTATGTTAAAATTGAAGAATCTGTTCTTCATATAAAGCGATCGTCTCCCCATTAGAGACCGCTTAATATGGGTTTGTTTCAGGATGCGTTTATTATCTTTTTAGGTTTCCATTACCTGGACTTTTAATGGAGGGGCAGAAACCTTCAAAGATTAAACAAGGTCTTTTGGGTTTGGAACGACATGAGGGTGAGTAAATGTTGACAATTTTCATTTTTGTGTGAACTATGCCTTTAAGATTGCACTTGTCAAATGAAACACACCAAGTCTCTAATTATTCCGTGACATCATCACACAAACGTGCATATGATACCCTTGACACTATCTGTATCCAGCTATTTGCATACTCTACAGGTATCTGTCCATCTGCTCTCACCTTCTGGAGCAAACAAGGGTATTTAAGGCAGGCTGTGCTATAACAGTAAAAAGTATAATTATTATTGCACAATGCATTCTAGTGTGAAAATAGAAATTGTATGTGTGTGTGTGTGTGTGTCAGGGATTGAGTGAGGTCCAACAGAAGTGTGAAAGGCCAGACATTAGCTTTATCACTTGTGTGGTAATAATAAGACAGAGTGTCTACAGGAAGCAAAAGGAAAGGTTTCACAATTGATGAAAACTGGCATGACAGAGGGCTTCATTTGTTGCTTGCCTGCTGAGAGGCTACCGGTGTCATCTCTTCTCGTGCTAACATCATTTCCTAAACGGATCTTTTCAAAATACCATATGGGCCCCATTTTTCATATAACGTCATGATTGTGTATGATGTTTTTTAATATATTATTGGGTGCGTTATCCTTTAAACAATTTGGTGGTTCATCATGTATAGCAGTGTCAAATTTGCCAAATCAATACAACAAATGTTTATGTGCAATGGAGAAATGTGTGTATGTCAGGGTGAGATCGAGACACACAGGAAGAAAGAGTTTGTGTGGATGCTATCTTTTCTCTGACGTTCAGTTTGCGTCTGTGGCGTCGCAAAAACATCACTCATGCGGTTTGGTAAAAGATATACCGATGGCATCAGCAGCACTGCAGAAACGTGCACACACACACACACACACACACACACACACAGAGAAATCCTGCAGGTATTACCCTGCCAATCTTAAAAAGTATGCTGACAGAGTCAGTCATTTATATTTCAGATGAGGCACAGAAATTGTGAAGGAAAAGGAATGAAAAAAAAAAGGCGTCACTCAAACCACAGCAGCATATGGAGAAATACAAGCAGAGGACCCATGGTGCTCTAGCAGATGCAGCAAATGGATTATTGATTAAAGAAATTGATTGTTAATAAAGTAAAGTGTTGCAGGCAAATAATTGACAGTCATATAATATATTAAAGAAATATTGATTAATTCTTCTGAACAGTGCACTGTGTTCACTTAAACTGCATTTCTGTAAAATGTTCATCTGAAACATCTGCATCCCAGAACGGATGCCCTAATGAAGAAGGCAACAAACACCAAAGGGGATGATGGCAAATCAGACTAAAGCTGTGTCCGAAACCCTGTACTTTTTCAGTATGCAGTGGATCAGATAAAGAAAAAACGCATACTGTACATCCACTATGTTGACATTGTGTTTTGACCTATTTACTTGCAACACCCGCAACAAAATAAGGTGTTATGAACAATTTAGCCAACTTTTTTTACTTGGCTCACAATTCTGAGACAATTTATATTGTAATATTTCTACTTCTCTCAGCTCCTGAGGCCTTGTGGGACTGAATAGTGTCCACTAGCAGCACACTTCAGTATCTAAGCAGATGCAGTAGGTCATCCAGGTTTTGCTGGCCAACAGTTTCATTCTACATATGCTGGCATCCTACTCTTTTTGCACAGTGTGTAGTAAGGAAGTAAACATATGTACACATAATCGGGTGTAGGGGCAAATGTCTATGTTAGGGGAGACTAAAAACAAGAATTATTGTCTATCACATGAAATCACAAGGCACAATAACAAACAAATGTTCAATCTAATCTTTCCATACAAAACTTCAGAGTTTCAGAGAAAGTATGATCCTGTGATGAACATAATAATAAGCAAAATGAGACTATTATGATCATACATAGCTACTTAAATTCATCAAAATAATAGAAAAAATGAATGGATGAGAACCTTCCAATAATCAATATACTTATTTATGGAAATTAGACATTCATTAGATGAATTCTAAGGGCAGACCGATTGACTTGTTTTCATTCATGGATTAATTCGTGGTCTGTCAAATGCACGCGCAGGGAATTTGCACTGACACTTTGGATGATACGCCTTGGTTGCAGGGTCTGTCCGTAAACAAACAAGAGAGTTGTGTTTTGTTTGTGTTTTTGTTTCTGCTTTTGTTTTGTTTTTTGTTTTTTGAAATAAAGAAAGAGCGGTGTAGAAAGAAATGGTGACGCGTGCACGGTTTTGGTTTCACGGTTAAAACAACAAAAAAAAATGACCCACTTGCTCAGTTTTAACTTTACAAGTATTATGGCTCTCTAAAATGTGATGCATGGATAAAGTTTAAACTCACGCTGCTGTTGTGTCCGGACCACAGCACCATGGCCTGGTTATGAGCAGAATCTCCAGACAACGCAAATGTGGACGTAATCAGGTGTGGTTCATTCTGCCTCGGACTCTTCCCGGAACCGTCAACTCCTCCGGTACGCCTGAACTCGAACCGAGAAGCTGCCGCGCTGTCAGACGGAAACAGACTGCGCTTTTCCCTCCTGTTTACTTTGATTTCCTCAGGAAACCAGGTTGGATAAACTTTTCCGTCTTTTTCCTTAGCTGGGCTCGTCCGTTCCGCTTGGGATATGTGCGAGTTCTCCGGTGTCTCTCTCCAGGACATAGAAGCAGACTTTGTGTGCTCTTCAGGGGAAAGTTGAGCTCCATCAATTCCCCACTTCCAGATTTTATCTGTGCTGCCGTCCGGTACACTTCCAAAATCACGGCTGACAAAAGCCGTTGTCTGCACTTGTGCCTCATTTCGGCGTATTGGAGCAAAGCACGAGGTGCAAGTGATATCTGCGCGCGCTGGGAGCGGCACGAGAGCGCAGAGAAAAAACCGCGTCCAGTACGTCCAGCTACACTCCGTCATCTTAATCATCCTCACTCTCATTTTCACCTTTTATACCCTACCAAGTCCACGCAAGTTCCCTCACAATCCCAACAAAAACACCCAAAACAACTTTTCGCCACGGTAGTGACGTTGAGGGGATACCTGTATAACGGTGAATGTATCTGATGTGCGGATTCGGTCGGATGTGAGCTGGGTGTAGTTACCGGAGGGGTGGAGCTGCTGAGTGACACGCGCTCACTCACTCGCTCTGGCTTGGACCGAGCTCGGGAGCAGAGTGTGTGACAGGTGCGCGCGCGGGGTATAACGATGGCCCCGAGGGTATCCGCGAGCAGAGACATCTGGAGCAGAGTCGAGACGGCATCTTTTCATATTAATATGTAAGCAGAAAAACAGATAACCTCGTCTGCTAGCTGTCACATCAATGAGAGGCAGATTTGAAATACAGAAACAGCTTAATGAAAACCATTGATAAGTCTTCATTTTAAAGTAGAAGTAAAAGTGATTTACTGTGAAAATGAACGTTCTCAAAGAAACTTTTGTTTTGTTTACTCGCCCTAATGTCCTTCTGTGGAACATATCTTGAAGAATCTGTATGCACCTCTTTTCCACATTGGTCGAGCTGCAAAAGTTGTCCATATTACTTTTGAGGCCATGTGATCAAAATTAAGATTATTTATTTCTACTGAAGTTATCTAGTTTCACTGTTCTAAATATTCAAAGTGGAGACTCAAGGGTTAGCCTACTTTTTCAACACACAAGCAATTGTATTTGGCGTAAATGATGTCAAAAATAATGTGAATTTAAATAAAATATATAATAAAATAAATAATAAAAAATAATAAAAATAATAAAATGTTAAATGCAGATACAAATGAGATTCCAGAGCTTTGGTGGAGCAAATAGTTTCCAACAGCTTATATTTTGGTTGCTCAGAGTTTTAAAAGACTTGAGGTGTGTTTCAAACAACTCACAATCAACATTCACATTCAAAATGTCCACAATACACCAAAAAACACTCTTTTTATAGTTTGCTTAATATGTTTGCTTAGAAATGTTGTAAAGTTTTCTTCGGCCTTCAGACAGAAATGTACAAGACTTGTTGTAAAGTATTTACATGATAAATTAAATATATCGGTCCTGGTGTGGCACAGCAATATTGTTCATACACACCAGTGATGTTTTAATGTGTGGTATTGTGGTGCAGGAAATTGAGTAATCAGTGTCCCAATTTTAAGTTTATCAAGGTACTTACTGGTGCCAAAATTCATGTTTAGCATAGACTGGCTATAAGGATCTAGAATGAGTCACATCAGAATGTATTAGGCTAGTCATGTGGATTTTATTTATTTATTTATTTATTTGTAGCCATTAAACTGTCATTGTATGGAAAAGATTCTTAAAAATATATATTTTGTGTGTGTTTCATTGAATGAATAACACCACAGGTTTGTATAGAAACCAGTTTCTGCCTCAGAAATTAACATGTTAAATTGTGACAAAGTTTGAAATAAGAAATAAACTCACATATAAGTTTAAAGTGTAAATTGAGATATATGTGGCTTTCATACACAATAAGAAAAAAAACAGAGAAAGTACTGGTATTTTAGGAAAATTTGTTAAATTTACATTTACATTTACTTTAACCTTAAAACACAATACAGTATACGAAATTCACAATAAGGGTAAAATACCTGCAAAAATCAATATGGAAAATTCCTATACTGCATGTAACAAAGTACATTAGGCCCTATTGGGACTTTTCTCAAGTGTTTGGAATGACATCAGAGTGTGCATTTTTATTTTTAAGGAAAGAAAATATGAAGAAAATTTGCATTTAAAACCTGTCGATAGCATGATTAGAGAGAGAAACAGACATTGGGGGGGGGGGGGTCTTTCCTCTCCTTTGGGAAGGAAGTGGTGTGTGTTTGAATCAGGGGGGGGGGTAAGCTAGCTTTTTATGCTGAGTTAAAATATGCACAATTACAACTGGCTCTGTATGAAATTAAAGACTTCCACAAACAGACACACACACACACACACACACACATATATATCAACGCATTCTCACCCCAAGGCGTCACCTTTGACCATGCTTCAATATTTGACGTTTTAGGCGCCCTTTAGCGTCACTTACATGACGCGATCCTACGGCGTCATCTAACTGACGCTAAAGGAAAGCGTCAGTTAGAGGACGCGGTTAGGTTTAGGTGTGGGGTGGGGTACACGCGATCCTAGGGCGTCATCTAACTGACGCTAAAGGGCGCCTAAAGCATCAGATATTGAAGCATGTCCAAATGCTTCCCAAGGCGTCAGTTAGGTGACGCCTTGGGAGTGAGAATGGGCTGATATATATATATATATATATATATATATATATATATATATAGTGTATATACAGTATAAAGGCCCATATATACTGTACAAACATGCATGTTTAGCCTGACATGAGGAAGGTCAGAAATATCTGGTTTTATATACTTTTTTTCCCCCCATGATTAAGACGGTTTGGAAATTACTCTGTCCATCACAGAAAACCCAGAGGATTTAGATAAGCTCCATAACTTTATTTTCCAGCCCTCTCAGCTGAACTCTGACCCTTTACAGCTAGAAAGATTTACTGAACTGTATTGCAGTTCACTGTCTTAACCCATCAACTTACCTACCTGTTCAGTTCACCCGATTATTCAAGGTGAATATTTGAAAGTTATATAACTTTTGGGAAATGGTATATTCTCAGATCATTGCCTAAGTTTTCAATATGGTTACCACCCTGTTTCACAATCTGGCTTTGTACCTCTTAACACAGACAATCATCTGTCTAAAACAAAACATTTTTAAATGTGCTAAAGGTGTGTGTCATTTTGCATGAATAATTGCAGCATCAGCATTTTTAATGTGTTTCCTTCCACTTGTTGTCTTCATAAATCATTTGTTTGTGTTTTAAAAGCAAGCTTTTTCCTGGCGGAATGCCCGGTGTATTCGCAATGTGAAGGTGACTGACGGGAATGTTTTGCATGTATTGGATAATTGGCATTTCACTAATCACTTATTGCTGTGTCAATGCTTTGTCAGATTTTCTGACAGTTTCAAGGGAAATAAATCAATAACCTCTTCCTCTGTGACATTTTTACTTTAGGGCAGACTGTGTCAGGATTACTCTATTATTCCAGATTCCAGCCTTTCGCCAGCAACAATTTTTTATTTTTTTTTTAATAATATGCAATTCATAGCTCTTAGTCCTCTCACATCCTCAGTATATCACACTTCTGTCATACTCAAACACAAACAGACACAGTATTCTCTACAGTTTACAATATACTGCAGCAAAATATAGACGCTTAATGTCACATTCTTCAGACTGACTTATGTTCATGCACATTCAAATACATGTGTATACAAAGACTAGCAACCTCCAGGCAGTGTCCCATTTGCAGTGTTCTCAGTCCATGCAGGAGCTTGTTAGCTCTGACACTCCGTATGAGATCTGACAGACACTGAAATGGTCTCCTCCTGCACAGACACACACACACACACACACACTTGTCTGGTTTGCTATCTTTGTGGGGACTCTCCATAAACGCAATGGTTTTTATACTGTACAGTCTGTATATTTTATCCCCTTACTCTGCCCCTATATGTAAACCTACCCATCACAGGAAACATTCTGCATTTTTACATTGTCAAAAAAAAAATCATTATGATTCATAAGCATATTTACGCTTTACCTTTATGTCCCCACAGTAAATCGAGTCCCCATGAGTGTGTGTGCATTCAGGTTTAAGTCCCCACCGGGAAATGTACACACACACACACACACACACACACACAGAGACATGTGAAAGAGAGTGCTGCAGAGCTTTTATCACTGCAGTTGCCATTGTGTGTAGGGGAAACACACACACACACACACACACACTCACACACACAAGCACACTTTCATTGGTCCTAGTGCATGGGCTTCTCAGTTTTGCAGAAGTCAACAAAGAGAGAGAGAGACCAGAAACTGACATAATGAAGTAGCTATACTCACACTAGTTGGATATATTTATAATAATAATAATAAAAAAAAAAATGAAGGAAAGAGAGAGAAGAGCAATGAAATTCCTGACTGTCCTTAAACTGAATCATCCATATCAGATTAATTGTTTTTACGAAGACAATGTACTTTTTGTTCATTATGGCTCATTATCTGCGCAGTATTTTCTCTTCATTATGGCTCTCCTCTTTATCTGTGTAATGTTTACTGTCAAAACAAAATCTCCGGATTTCAAAGACAATTCAAAAAGTCTCAAACTCTTGACGTGATGAATTTTTAAAATACAGAGCCTGGAATTTGTTTGGAAACACATGGGCAAGTCTTCAACAAGGTCAGAAAAGGTCTAGCATGATCAACAAAAGCCTTTGTTGTTGCAGAACGGAAAAAGTGTGTCAGAGGCAATATTATTGAATGAGCTTGAGAGCATTTTTTTCTTTTGGTAGGGCTCAAGTGAAAGTCTGAATTAAGCTTAAAGAGTTAGTTCACCCACCTGTCATCATTTACTCACTCTTACGTCACTCCTGCTGTATGACCTTTTTTGTTCTCTTTAAAAAATCGAATTTTAGACTTCTAATTCGTGACTGGTGTTTTGTTTTGCTGTATAATCTGCACATCCAAATTTGTCAGGTCACACGTCACTCTTTTGTCGAAACTTGTGTACAGAATCCGGTGATTCTAGTTTATAAAGCTATAAATATAGATATTTATCTCACAAAAGCACATCGCTTTGCTTCGGAAGGCTTCAAAATCTCAGTTACTATTCACTCCAATTTTAAACCTTGAAAGAGCTTGGAATGCCCTGACATGTTTAATATAACTTGTGTTCGGCTGAAAGAAGAAAGTCATTTACAAATGCTCCATTTACACTCACTTTTTTTATTGCACAAAACGTATTGACCCAATGGCAATTAGTGAAATGATAAATAAAAAGATCTTATTTTATTATGTAAGAAAAGTATAGTCAACGTGATTAGGAATAAGAGTAACTCAGGCACCTCTTACAATAAATCTTATGTTAAATTCACTAAATATGAAAACAGTGTAACATCTTGAGGCCAATAAACACAATCAGTATGAGACCATCAGTTACAATTACGCTGGTAAATTAACTGTTAATGAATAATGAAGACCACTACACACACAATGTGGTTTGTATTTAATGGGGTTTTGGAATCATTCTCTCTGTGTTTTAATGTTTACTCTCTTTCTCTCTCTCTTTCTCTCTCTTCTTTTCTTTGCTCTGCAATTACAGCTTCGCCGCACATAATCTTAATCAGAGAGCAGCCTATTCATTTATATTCGGGCATCCATGCATATTACCAATACAAACACATGCACACACACAAATATTCACAGGTCTTTATGGATCTGCTGAGTGCATTTGTTTATTGCCACTGGAAAGCAAACACCATCTGTTAATGAACAAACTCTCTGACCCACTTAGTTCCATTCAGTCTCTTTCAGTCTTCCGCATGCACTTGCTCCAAACAGACAGAGGTTCATAAGTGTGTCATTTGGG